CATCATTGCACGAAGAGATCATTAAATTAAAGTCCGACTCCAGGTTTGGGTTGTTTTCTATGCGATTGAATCAAAATGTTATTCAATTATTTTTAATCACTAATAAAATGATAGAGTAATAGGTTTTCATTCAAAAACATTTCAAAAACATTCAAAACAATTAGTTTAAGGACTAGTGATTATTGGTATAAATGAATTGAATAATAAATAAATTATTCTTGCTATTGTTATGAGTTAAGTAATTATGTGCAAGCTAGTATAAAATTAATTATACTGCTAACCCTGTGCGGCCTCCATAGTCAACCTCAAGAACATGTGTTTTAATGTGGATCCCATTGAGACGGGTCCGTGTCTATCAAACTGAGCCGTAACTAAGACGTGATAATCGGCAACAATTGTGTCCAAAATTTGCTTAGATGTGAACAATGGTCTCAGTTTGGACACCAAGTCGTACTTCATGTCATCCATGTATTTGGTTTTGGTTTTAATCAGATTTCTGGGACCAGTTATGATCGCATATAACATATACATCAATGCTTTAATTGGTGTCCAAAGCGGTAGATTAGTATCTTTTCTGATCTCTTTGAACGTGTTTAAGACATCCGGGTCCTCAATGTGGTGACCAATGAGGGCCACTACTGCCTGACTCGCGGGAACCGATTCCGGATAATCTGTAAAGAAGTCAAACGGACCCTAGAAATAGGTTTAAAATGTTTTAACAAAAATCAATAACAAATTCACATAATATTCATACACTCGTTAAGTTAAACATCATTTGATTGTATTGGACGCCCATTGCCGGTGTGAATGGATTGTAATCCTCTTCCCTATACATTCCATGCGAGATACCGGAGCGCTGATTGAAAACATAAATAAAATCAACTTTAGTTTAAAACATAATTAATTAATATAATACATAAATTAATTCATTTTATGATTTACTATGATTATAAACAATACAGAAATGACCATGAAAATGATCCTGGCTTACGAAAAATCCATTTCTATTGGCAAAGGTCCAGCTGAAGACTATCCAAGATGATGCCCCGGGAAAATTTTCGCCCCAATGGGCTCGGGTGTAGATCTCGTACTCGGATTTGTGTCCGGAATCCATTTCATGCATAATCTCGTAATCGGTGTAAGAGTTGTCTAAATTAGTTACGGGTCTCGACTGAAGCATAAATACTTGGCCCCCTTTTAGCCCCCACTCAATATCTCTGGCGTTTCCGTAATGTCTGTGAATCTAATGATTGCATAAAAAATAATATACTATTTATGATAATTAGAAATATATAGAGAATATTCCGGACCTGAAGTCCAATATCTGCCAAACTTATCAAATCCTCATCTCTAACACAACAGTCGGTGTTGTTGTCGACCACTTCCTCAACAGTGCCACCGGTTTCTGATAATACGATTGACGTCTTCTTCTGTCCGATCACTTTAGACACAATTCCCGTGACATGTCTTCGTGTGGACAGGGAGTTGGACTTAATGTTGACGGACAGTCTGATTGTGTCGGGTTCTGCCGACGCCGACACCACTGACTGAGTATTGGATCAAATAAAACACACATTACTATCATTGTATACATGAATATCAGGGTCCACTCACTTCGCCCAACCCATAGTTGCCGGTGATCTCCAGTACCCTCTCATCACCGGTGATGGGATTACAAGTGAACATAACTCCCGCCGATTGGCAGCCAATCATCTCCTGTATGACGACAGCCATCGGACTATTGATAGGCTGTCCGTAACCCCTCTTATACTCGACGGCGATGTGCGAGAACTGTGAGGAC